AACTTGTTTACTTGTATGATTCCTCACTACAAAGAGAGGGGAAAATCAAAGGAGGGGAAAAAACCCCACAATCTCTACAAGACACATAAAAAAAAATAGTTCTGGAGAATTATTTGAAAGTAGCAAAACTACAGTAAAGATAATATGCTTGTCGGTGTGCATAATCAGACAAAAAGATACAAAGTGCACATTTCAAACCCCAAAATGAAAATCTTTAATCAGAAAACTGGTGGTCTCTGGGCTTGGCTGTTTTCTTGCAGACCAAATTAGGTAACATCATCAGTGCTAGAGGGAGTGGAGAGGAGGAGTGGGAGGGAGGAGGAAGAGGAGGAGGAGGACTATGGGGACTTTGGTGCTCTCTAAATTTCATGGTTTTCTTGTAGACATTTCACTACCCAGCTAGGTAACATCATCAGTGCTAGAAGGGAGTGGGGTTTACTATCTTTTTATATACTAAAATAATGTCTTGCCCTTCAGTATATAAAAAGGCCACCAGGAGGTTTTATCTGTGTCCTCGGGATCACCTGGGTAGTGCAAATGTGTGTGGAGCCTTCTTGGCTGCAGGAAGTTTTCTGCCCTGTGTCCCTTCACTGTTGAAGACAGATTCAGGTTGTTGGGGATGAGTTTGTGTTGTCTGCATCTCAAACTGAAGTGGAAAGAGTTCTTGTTGTGTGCAATTCAAACATCTGCACTCCTCAAGTGATCCTGAGGACACAGATAAACCTCCAAGTCGCCTCAACGACTCTTTCAAAGAAAGCAAATGACCAGCTGTCTGCAAGGAATATAAATCCTTCCATTCCCTACCATTCAGTCAGAGCTGAAGAAGCTTTTTGGATGAGAAGTGAAATGTCTTCAGAGAAAAAGAAGGAAGTCCAGCTGCCTTTTGAAAAAAAGCACCTTTGGCGACGAAGAAGGTTGAGCCTCCTCGCTGACGGACCGTAGATTGAGACTCTCTGCGGCTATGGTCCGTGCTCTTTCGTTGGAGAGCCCCGATCATTACAATTAGGGGCTGAAGCTGCTTTGGAGGGGCGGCGGAATAAGGGGAAGCCGCAAACCAGGTTGAGGGGAGCTGCATCTCCCCCCCCCCGGGCTTGGTCTTTTCCCCCCCAAATATGACTGCAGTGGTGGTTTAAAATGGCCACCCCAAAGAGGAAGACTCAGCTGGATTAAGATTTGTGCAGGAGGGAAGAAAGAGGTGGATAACATCTGAACCGGGACAACTGGGCAATCCAACTAAACAAAAGTACCCTGAGATTAAGGTAACATGGAATTTTTAAGAAAAGAAAAGTGAGCGGCGAAATTAGGGACAGGAAAAAAAATAAGAAAATATTTTTGACAGCTAAGCGGAGCTTTGAACCAGGAAAAGAAGAAGCTGGAACTGAAGATTTAACTAAATTGGACTAAAATGTTTTGGGAATAAACAGGCATAAAATAAAGCTGGACTTAAGATTGTCAAAAAATAATAATAATAAAGTTTACAAATTGGAGACTGGACTGTGCTGGAATATTGAGGTTCGAAAAAACCCTAAATAAAAAAATAGGGGGAAAAGGTGAAGACTTTGTATAATGGAGAGTGCCACCTTTTGACAAAAACTTGAGCTCAAACAAAAGGGAAAGCATCCTGTTTCTGAATGAACTTGTGTGGATATAACATTAAAGAAATATTGAAACAAAGTAAGAATCTTAGAAAGTGAAAGCAGAACCAGAATAAAGAAAAAAGCAAGGAAAGACTGACTGTGGGATTGATTGATGTTTTTGGAATAGACCCTGGGCTGGAATAACTGAGAACTTTAGAAAATTGAAAGAAGAGAGAAGGAAAATAGAGTGCTTTTTTGTGGACCTTAACGATCATAAAATATAAGAGTGTGTAATGATGATATCTCTTCGGGAATTAAATATGGAACTTAAAAATATGAGAGAATTACTACAGGAAAGAGACGAATCACTTTGCTCTGTGTTAGAAAAAATGGAAATGGTGATTGAAGAACAAGAAGAAAGAGCTTCAGAGGAGGCGGAGTCGACTCAAGGAGAAGATATTTTAAATAGACAATTAACACAAAGAACACTACAAAGAAGTAGGGAAAGAGGGAAGGTTAAAACGTTGAGATTTAAGAAGGCAATCAAAAGGGGGAATACCTGTGAAGTCAGAAAAGGCAGAAAGACCCAGCAGAAAAGGGGAAAGGAAGATATTAAGAAAGAGAGGGATATAAACTGGAATGAGGAAAGATATGGGGAAAAGAGGGGGAGGAGGAGCAGTGAAAAACAGGTGCATGAAATAAAGAACTACGAAAATAGTAAAATGTTGAAAAGAAATTGTTTTTTCAGAGATAATGCTTGATGAATTAAAAAGGGGATTCTGCAGGGTGACAAGGGGTAACAAGAATATTTCTGCAATTAAAAATATTTAGAAAATAGGGTAATATAGATACTGATAACTCTTATAAAAAATCAAGGGGGTAAATATGCTGCGGAATCCAAATGAAAAGATGTAATGATTATTACTGTAACTTCTTAAAAATAATGGTTTATTGGAAATCAAGATGAGGGAATAAAGGTATATTTTAATCATTGAGGTGTCACACTCAAAGCAGTAAAAGGGGGGAAACCTATACTTGTCTTTTTTTTAGTGTTAAAATTTGTATTAATCTAGAATTTATAAAAAGAATGTGTAATGAAAAAGGAATATAGACTAAACAGCCAACTAAATTAATAAGTTAATATAGACTATTAAAGGCAAGGAGAGACATTGGTAACTTTATTATTATTGTTGTTGTTTTTAGTATTATTATTAGGCAAACACATATTGTTTATCTTTATTTTTAAAATAAATATTAAAGGATTATATTTGAAATAATTGAAATGAAACAAAAAGATGTTTCGACTGAGATTAATGAAAGAGGCTAGAATTAATGTGTTAGTTTCTCTCCTTACTGAAAATTTGGAATGGAAAAGGTAATAATAGAATTAAGTATGCATTTATGAATGTATAATTGCTGTCATATTTATATGTAAAGGTGATGACCCGGAAATATGTTGTCCACTAAAAAGAGAGTTTTGTTTTTAATGTGAAAAACCAAATAAAATTTGTTTTTTTTTAAAAAGCACCTTTGGGACACTCATGTCCTGGATAAGGACCCAGATTGTTGGAGGCAAGAGGCTGAATCTATAAACCGCTTAGAGAGGGCAGCAAAGCACTGTGAAGCAGTATATAAATCTAAGGGCTATTGCTCCAACTGAGAATCTCCATAAACTTTATTTACACACAGCACTTGAGCATCTTTTACGTTTGTGTTTCCATTGTAGATTTTTAGCATCATCCATGCAGTTCATTTCCAATCAGGAACATTTCTCTAACAGACAGAAAAGAGCTTCCTCTCCATTATTGCCGATCTCTCATTAGTTATTAATGCTGCAGCACTCAAAGAACATTGGCTCTGACTCCCTTTGCTTGTTGTCACTGATACTGCTTCAAGACACAAGCCCTTGATGACACACGTCAATAATGCCAGCCACAGACCAAAGAGGGCAGCAAACCAAAAGAAGGGGGAGACGGTTCCTGACCCAGTTGGGTTACTTTTGAGGACTTGGCAAAGGTCAAAGGAGAGCATGATATTTTTTTTCTTCTTAGGCTGTTGAATTTCATAAGAGAGTTCACTTTAAAAATCGAGCTGCTTTTTTCCCTCCCTTGTTACTTTTGAAAAATGTAGGGACATAAGAAAGCTTGTCTCATCATGAGTCAGTTCACTGGTCTATCAACATCGCCATTGTTTTCGCAGACTGGAAATGGCTCTTCATTGTTTGATGAGACTCTTTCCCAGTTCCATCAGGAGGTGGTGAGGCTGACCCCATGACACTCTGCAAAAACGACTGAATACAATTTCCAGTGGACAATGGGTGGAGATGCCACTCCCTGCCTCTCCAATGAGTTGAAGCAGCAGAATTATTCAGAGTGAAGGAAATGACAACATTCAGCTCTTGGTAATGCAAACTCTGTATATAGGTAGCCTTTAATGTCAGAAACATCTTGCCTGTGTGTCTTGGGTTTGCAAAACCCTTACATTTATCCATAATATGAGCCATTAAAATGAAAACATTAAATGCAAATAAAATAAATGATAACATTTAGGTTTCCTAAGGCCTAGCAAACATTAAGAACTGTCTCTTTCTTTTTAATAATTAAAAGAAAACTAACTAGGCAGAGCATTTTGCAGGGAGGGAGGGAGGGAGGGAGGGAGGGAGGAAGGAAGGAAGGAAGGAAGGAAGGAAGGAAGGAAGAAAGGAAGGAAGGAAGGAAAATGAAGGGAGGCAGGGAAGAAGCAAGGAAAAGAGAGAAAAATAAAGGAAAGAAGAAAGAGTGGGAGGGAGGGAGAATTCCTACCACATAATTAGTGCCAGCAATTCTTTGAAAGCCCTACTGTTTTTCTAGAGCAAGCAAAGGGCATCATATTCTCCGGATGCTGCACTGTTTTCCCAAAAACCCACATCACCAGTGACGTTCCATCCAATTTCCTCTGTGCTGGAAGTGGAAGCTTAGTAATTGAGGATGCACGGGAGAGCCACCTCTTGTTGTAGCATGTTGAGCCATAATACAACAAACCAGTGTTATGGTGTCATAAGACCAACTCTCTGTTACTGAGCTGGATTCAGAGTTAAAGCTTGTTGTGTGAACTCAGTCCTAGTAGCTCAGTTCTCCATGGTTTTCACTTCCACTTCCCCGCCTCCCTTTTTTCCGATAAAGAAGTCATTTGCTGGAAGTGTTGCCCTCTGCCCACTTTTCTGTCCAAATTACAGCCCAGTTCTTCCTGGGCACACAGGCTCACAATCAAACCACACTTGCCCATACAGTGCCCGAGCACAATACTGCTCCTATGGGCAGAGTGCCGATTTTGTACTCACGCCCCATTCAGGTGCATAGACCCAATGCAGTAAGAGCTGCATGAATTTAATGCTTTCTAGTTTCTATTTTTGGATTTTATGCTTTCTATTTTTTGCAAGCATACCTGGAGCAATGGTTTCCAACCTCCCTGAATCAAGCTTCCTAGTGCTGGTGCAGTGTTGAAGGGCGGATCCCGTAAAAACGAGGTAAAAAATTACATCGTCACTTTCGACGTGATCATCTTCAGTAAGCAATATGGTAATTATGCAGTCACCCTAAGGAAGCCAGGGAACAAAAAAAAAGAGAAGAGACTTTTAATTTTAACATCCATTGATGAAATAGGCTAGTTTAGTAATAGTTGCCTTTGGTGGAATCCTAAAACATCTGGAGAACCACTTGAAGACCATTGGCATTGACAAAATGAACCTCAGTCAATTGCAAAAGGCAGTTTTGCTTGGAACAGCTTACATCCTGTGACATTACCTTTAAAGTTATTAAACAATGTGTTCCTTTACCAGATCTTGGGAAGAACTCAGTAGGAATAGGAATATTCTCTATTGTTCAAGTATAATGAGACACACAAGGAATTTGTCTCCGGTGCATAAGCTCTCAGTGTACATACAAACAACAACATAGTGGTAAGTCATAGATCATAAATCATAGGATACAATCATAATCATAAGATACCAATAGGAGAAGGTAGTAGGAAAGATAACGTGAGAAGATGAAAAGATGAGAAAGATGGGTAGATAAGAAGGATGATAGCAATATAGCTCTACTAGAAAATATACTTAGGCATAAGACAGTGCTGAGGGGAGTAGGCATTTAGTGATGGCATGGGGGTGGGATTTGTCTTGGAATGCAATGCCCTATAGCGCCATCCCGAGGGAAGGAGTTGAAATAGTCCAGGGTATAAGGGGTCTGTAGATATTTTCTCAGCCCTCTTTCTGGCTCGTGCACTATGCAGGTCCTTAATTGAAGGCAGGCTGGTTGCAGTTGTTTTTTCTGCAGTCCTAACTATCTGTACTTGTCCTGTAGGTGGATAAAAATTCCATATCCAATCTAAACATTTGGGTGACTGTGAAACCAACCATAATGTGTAAGACAGTATAGGTTATTATGACAAATTGGATGAATTAAAAAGTTTGGTGCTGGAATGGGAAAAAATTTAATGTGGATCTTACTAAGGTTTTCAAGGTACGAAGAGAGAGAGACTTATTCTTCAAAGAGCAATTAGGACAACATCACTTTAAGCCAGATCTTTATATGCTAATGATTTCAATTGGGCTTATTTTAATCTTCCTTATTCATAAATTTGTGGGACACGGTGGTTCAGTGGCTAAGATGCTGAGCTTGTTGATCAGAAAGGTTGGCAGTTTGGCGGTTCGAATCCCTAGTGCCACGTAACGGAGTGAGCTCCTGTTACTTGTCCCAGCTTCTGCCAACCTAACAGTTCGAAAGCATGTTAAAAAAAGTGCAAGTAGAAAAATAGGAACCACTTTGGTGGGAAGATAACTGTGTTCCGTTCGCCTTCAGCACTTAATCATGCTGGCCACATGATCACGGAGACGTCTTTGGACAGCGCTGGCCCTTTGGCTTTGTAATAGAGATAAGCACCGCCCCCTAGAGCCGGAAATGACTAGCACATATGTATGAGGGGATCCTTTACCTTTACCTTTATTCTTAAATTTATGGGATTTCATTTGGGCCTCAATGTCTATGGAGATTCTCAGTCATCCAGGTCATGGTTGTCCCAAAGATGCTTTTTCAAAAAGCAATTGGACATTCTTGCTTTTCTTTGAATTTCCCTGTATTACACTTCTAAGTGAAAAACAAGAAAGTCTAGTTGCCTCTTGAAAAATCAGCTTTGGGGTTTGGGCCTCAAGTCTTCCGGCTGTATAGAAAAGGCAAGACACACAACTGGTAAAATAATAGAAATCATAATAACCCTTAGGGAGGCCACACCAGCTCCCTGGGCAAGAAAATATTATCCCTGTTCCTAATGATTGCATAAAAGGACAAGGAAGATGTACTGATGGAACTGGGATAAATAAACAACTTCCAAAACTTTGGAGCAACAAAATAACCCCATACTCCATCCCCTTCAGCCTTAAAAAGTAGCAGAAAAAAGGTTTTGGTACTTACCTGATACACCTGTTCTCTTTGAGCTGTGAGGAGCATCCAGTAGTGGGAGGTGCTTCAGTCTCTGCATGTCTAGGCTGGGCTTAATTTCTGGAACGCTCCTCCTCCTCCTCCACGGGACTCCTCCCCAGGGTTCCCCAGTTTTGGCGAAGACAAGAGAATAAACACCTCAACGTCCTAATGATATGTTGGCCGAAACAGGACCCCACCAGATGGAAAAAGGGTGGGGCTGCATGCTCTTCACAGTTCAAAGAGAACAGGCATATCAGGTAAGTACCAATGCCCTTTCTCCCATGAGCGGTTCAGAGCATCCAGTAGTGGGACATACCAAAGCTTGGCCTGTCCTAAGGGAGGGACTCTGTCTGGCTTGGAATCTCCTCCGGGTCCCTGTGAACCTGTTGCAGAACTCTTCTGCCAAAGGAGGCCTCGGCAGATGCAAACACATCTATTTTATAATGCCTAATGAAGGGCGATGGAGAGGCCCAGATTGCAGCTCGACAAATTTCAGTTATTGGTCCCTGCGTGGCTCACGCTGCCGATGCTGTGGTGCTCCTTGTTGAATGAGCTGTTATGCTCCTGGGCACCCGTAGTGATTTAGTCTGATACATTTTCGCTATCACAGCCCGTAGCCAACGGTTTATTGCGGAAGATGAGACCTTGCATCCCTGAGTGTTTGGCTGAAATGACACAAATAAAGCTTCTGTTTTTCTGAAAGACGCTGTGCAGTGAATATATATTTGCAATGCTTGTCTCACATCAAGCCGATGCCATTGTAGTTCCATCCCTTGAGATGGCCTGGGACAAAAGTTAGGAAGTATCAGCTCTTGTGCCCTGTGAAAGGCCGAATTAATTTTGGGTATAAACGTAGGATCAGGACGAAGGACCACCCGGTCCAAATGGAAGACACAAAGATCTTGTCTGATCGACAAAGCTGCCAGTTCCGAAATACAATGAGCGGAAGTGATCACTACAAGGAAAACTACTTTATACATCAGAAATTGGAGACTTGATGATTTCAAGGGTTAGAAAGGGTACATAGTGAGTGCAGCGAGAACCTTGTTAAGGTCCCAAGTGGGATAACTGTAAACCACTAGCAGGTGTAAATTTGTGGCTCCTTGAAGGAAACTCTGTATGTGTGGGTGATGAGAAAGAGACAGTAGACCCTCACAAGTGACAACCGATGCCAAGGCTGCCACCTGTCTTTTCAACGTATTAAGTGATAATCCCTTGTCAAGCCCCCCTTGAAGAAACTCTAGGATTTGAGCCACTGATGGAGAGATGGGATCAATTTGAGACTTAGTACACCATTTGCAGAAACTGGACCATGTGGCATTGTAAATGCAGGTTGTTGAGAGGCGTCTGACAGCTTGGATGGTGGCGATAACTCTGTTGGAAAACTTTTCATTCTTCAGACGTCTACACTCAAGACGGTCAGGTGCAACCATTGAGGGTCCGGATGTTGAAGGGGTCCCTGGGTTAGCAAAACCCTGTCCGGTGGAATTCTCCATGGTGTTGATAAGGATAGACTGCGGAGGTCTGAAAACCATGGCCATCCGGGCCAGTAAGGAGCTATTAGCAGAAGCTCCACCCTCTCGTCCAGCAGCTTCTGGAGGACCTTGGGGATCAGTGGAAGTGGTGGGAATGCGTGTAGAAGACCCTGGGGCCAACGGCAGTGGAGAGCGTTGAAGCTCTCTGCTCCTTGCGAGGGGTACCTGGAAATGAATCTGGGGAGCTGAAAGTTGAGGGGGGAAATGAACAAGTCTGCCACCGGCTGCCCGAATCTCCTGACTGCCTCTTGAAACAGGGTCAGATGGAGGCGCCACTCCAGTGGATCAATCATGGCCCTGTTTAGCCAGTCTGCCTGTGTATCCGAAATGTGCTCTGCTCTGATGGAAAGCAGGTAGTTCTCCTCCCAACAACACAAGCACTCCGCTTCCCGCATAAGGTGTTTCGACTGTGTGCCCCCATGCTTGTTTATGTGAGCTTTTGCTGTTACGTTGTCGGTCAATATTAGTATGTGATGATTGTGTACCTGTAGAAAGAAGCTGAGAGCCAGGGGTACTGCTCGAAGCTCCAGTCAGTTTATGCTGCTCGACTATTCTATGGAGGACCAGCAGCCTTGGGCTGTGAGCGATTGAAAGTGAGCCCCTCATCCAAACAGGCTGGCATCGATGGTGATGGTAAGTCTGTGGAGCTCTTTGAAGAGACAACTTCTGTTGATGACTGGTCCGGTCCACCAGTGTAGAGATATGAGGACCTTTGATGGTACCTTCTGGAAGACCTTGGGGATCAGTGGAAGTGGAAGGTCCTAGGGGCAGAAGCTAATCCAAAAGGAAGGGCCACATATTCAAAATGGTAGTTATTATAACAGAATTTCAGAAATTTATAGTGGGAAGGCCGAATAGCAATGTGCAGGTACGCCTCCATCAAGTCTATGGATGTGAGGACGTCACTTTTTCTGATGCCAAGTAAGATAGATTGCACGGTATGCATTTTAAACTTGCGATATACTAAGAAATGGTTGAGACATTTCAGATCTAATATCGCTCTCCACCCCACCCCACCCTGAACTTTTGGGAACAACAAAAAGATGTGAATAGAAACCTCGCCCTCGTTGGTTGGTTAGCTACTGGTGGGATGGCTCGTATATCCAGTAAATGTTGGATAGCTGTTTCCATAAGATTGCGTTTAACTGGATCTCTGGAAAGAGGGCATGACATAAAGAAGACTGGGGGAGTGGATTGAAACTCCAGCGCAAGTCTGATTGTGTCTCTGACCCAGGAACCAGATGTTGATGAGTCCCATTGGTCCGCGAATAATTTAAGGCATCCGGCAATGGGAGTCGGGTCCAGGGAGTTATTTTGGATGCCGCAAAGACCCGTTTCCTGCTCCTTGAAAGGATCTCTTGGATTGGCCACCCCTTCTGTTCCTAGCCCTGAAGTCGGACCTCTCTGGCTGCTGCCCTGGTCTGAATGATGGGGGTCTCTGGTATCTGGGTGAGAAGGGTCCCTGATAAAAGGGCCGAAAGTATCCCCTCTGAAAGGACTGAGGGTTTCTAGAATCTGACTTCTGAAAAAGGGAAGGTAGAATTTTCTTTATGTTTCGGGTTTCAGTTAGCAGCAGGTCAAGGGCA